ATCTGGTTTTGCGGCGCCGAACCCTTGGGGTCTTCCTCGATCTGCAATCAAGTTGTGTTGTTGGTTTTACTTCTCTTCAATTTATGTTTGTTTCTGAAATCATTCTCATCTTCAAATGAATCTGCCGTTATTTTTCGATTTTTGTATTCTCGTTCTTAACTTTAGTTCTTCCTCAACTTTGATTTATGCAACTTTGATTTCAAATGGATCTGCAACCATTTGTTCTTATTTCTCAACTCTGGTTTTCAAAAAATGTCAAATTTTGTTTTAAAAATGCCAGAAAAATGGCATTTTTACTCTTGAGAAATGTCATTTTTTACTTTGAAAATGCCATTAGTATGTCATTTTTTATGTAAAGTGGCATTTTTAGAAAATAGATGGCATTTAATTTTGGTCATGAACAATAGCAGTGTTGGGACATGGCATAGGCGGTGGTAGATGCTGCCATCATGAACTTCCCAGCATCGACGACGTTTATTTCTAAATACGTACATGGAGGTGAGTCGTGAGAATGATCAATAAGGATAAATCTGGAATTGAGAGATTAATTACTCCCGTTTTGAGAAGAGAAAACTTTTACTCCCATTCATGTAATTTAGTTATTATTTAGTCCTATTTAGGGAATAATCCCTATATTTTTTAATTTTTTACATTTTTATTTTTTATTATTATTTTCCTTGTTTAAAAAAACGTGTTAGGCATGACAACTGAATGGGTAGGATAGAAAAAGTTATTCCTATTTTGGAAATATAAACTTTGTATTATTCTTACAATTGCCTTTATTTATTCTTATTTAGAGAATTGCCTGCGTTTTGATATGGTGATTGTATATTTTCAGTTTATCATTCTACTTTTTTACCAAACATGTAGAGCCTGTTTGATAAATCCATGTTTTTAGTCTATCAGTTTTATCGCCTAACTTTTTTAGTAAACACAAAATCTTTTACTTCGCGCGCTGAATTGAGAAAGGTGCAAGTATACTCCTAAAGTATATGTGAAAGTGCACATATACTTCTGAATTTCTAAAAGGTGTAAAAATACCCTTTAAGTTTGTATAAACGAGCGAATTAGTTACCCTTATTAATTTTAAATAAATAAAATTAATTTTCAAAAACACCAAAAATAAATTATAAATTCAAAATTTTAAAATTGAAAAAAAATCTACTTGTAACCAATTCCCCAATTTATTATTTTTATATCACAATTTAATAATGTTAGAATAAAAAAATTGTTTCAAAACTTGACTATAAATTTATGATTCTTTCTAAAAAGGGTTGACATATGTGTTGCAATGTATAGAAACATTATTTCTGTACACTTTTTGCACTACAAAATAGTGAATTTAGTTTTATTAAGTTTAAACAAAACCAAAGAATGTTATTTCAAAAACTGTAACAATGTGTTCAAAATTTCTCAAGACTAAAATTAATCTTTATGAATTTGAAATGCTACATTTACAATGGAAAAATAATAATTTTGCAATTTAAAATTAAATAGTTAATATTTTAACTTAAAAATAAATCTTTATTTTTAACTCTTAATTATTTTCAATTACAAAATTTAAGTTTATATTTTTTGTTTTTTTTTTTTAAATTTGTTATATTTATTTAAAGTCAATAAGAGTATATTTGCTCTTTTAGGAACATTTGAGGTATTTTTGCACCTTTTAGAAGTTCAGGGGGTATATCTGTATCTCCACGTATACTTCACGTCTTCAAGGTTGTGTTTGCAACTTTGCACCTTTCCGAAATTGAGAAGTAATCAAAATAAGTAAGATTAAAATCATTTTTCTGGCTTAATTGGCTGAATTTACAGTAGAGTACCATCTTTGTCATTTTTCATGTAATTGTTTCTTAATTTATTATCAAAATATATTTAAAGTATACTTTTTTCATAATTTAGCGCACTTCGTCAATGCAGTCACTTCAGTTATAATTTTATAAATTTAAACAGGTTTAGCTTATTCAGTCAATCTAGCTTATAATTGTCCACGTGTACGTTCTCATCATAAGTTATAACATTCCGGTTCGGGAATGTACACAGGTTTAGCTTATTCAGTCAATCTAGTCATGTCCACGTTGCAAAAATAGTTACGTCTTTATTTTGATGTTATGCTTATTTTTATATCACATTTCACAAATGCATATTTTATGGGACATCCCGAACTGTCCCGGTTTTTCTCGGGTTGTCCCGGTCCCGTTTTAAATGGGACAACATTGGGATAAAGACTTATCCCGTACCGTACCGGACCGTTATTATAAAACCGGGACGGGATCGGGATAAGCCAAATCCCGGACCGTCCCGGACCGTGCCCACCCCTAGGTGTGCAACGGATGGAAAAGATGCGCAGGGGAGGAAAGATAAGATGCGCAAGTGAGAAAGAAGTCTGGACCGTGTGCGTAGGGCAAAAGAGATAAAAAACAGGGGTAAATATGTAATCTAGTCCCATTTAGGGAATAAAATTATACATACTCCTGTTTTGGAATTTCAGGAACAATTTAATCCTATTTAGAGCAAAAAACTCTAGTTTTATTTGACAACTATTGATTTTTAAAATTTATGAATTTGAACAACTCTTACCGCACCGATTTTGGTGTGCTTCTTTTTGAGTTAAAAACTTATTAATTTGGATAATTATGGATGAGATGTAGAATTGGCTAAATCCCTCTTAGTACGTATAAAAACTGTACGTACACATGATCCCATTAGGACTGAAACAATGCTCCAAATCTCATATGTTACAATTAATCAATCATTACATACTCTAAATCAGAATACATGTAAATTTATCTAGATATCTAAATATTAAAAACACTAAAGACTTTCGTTTTATCCAACCATTAAATTTTTTAACAGAGAATAACACGTACATGATTTATAACAACACATGACATGTTTTCAAAAAAAAACCATGACATTTTGATGTATGGTTTGAATTATTTGGGGATAATGTGTAACCTATGTATCAAGGAGATCCACAATAAACTCAAACAACCTGACAATTTCGTTTGAACAATTTTCTTCTTTGGCCTACTAAATTTTGATAAGGTCTTAGTCTTAAGAGTCCCTAAATTACAGAGAATGAATTAAAATTTTCAATTCGTGTTGTTTCGATCTTTTTAGATGATTTTTTGTCTGCTTCATTTGAAATGCACATATTGGTCATTACTAAATTTAAATACTTCAATTCTTAAATAAGTGAAAAGTCATCAATCACATCTTTACTTTATTTGTATGTATAGAATAAACTAGCGGGTGCACGCGCATTGCGCGAGTATTCATGCCCAACGCGCAAAATTAAAGGAAAAAGCATATGGCGGTGGACAGACCCGAGTCTTAGTGACGTGGCATTGGCTCACTTGCTCACTTGCTACCTTAATCAGGATGGAATACTAAAGATATAAATATGGTATAAAGCCATACCTTACGGTAAGCAAAGGAATTGAACTTCCAGAAAACTTTTGGTGCTTGTAAATCGCTAATTTGAATGGAATATTCATGAGAGGAGCATTGTGGTGTGTTATTTAATTTAATAGATGGAATTGAAAGAAATGGCTGAACATGAGCTGATTTGAATATTACGAAATAAATGAAATAGGAAAACGACAGAAGAAAAGTTGCAGAACTTAAAGATTGTGAAAATCATTTTACGAAGACTTGTAATGAGCAATAAACTCAAAAGCAAAGAAAAAAGGTGACTTCATCAACCACTATATGTGTAATGACCAATAAAAACCTGTAAACACTAAACCCCTTGGACATTCATACTGGCCAATTGGGAAAAAAAATGTTTTTTAATCAAATACAGAAGTACAGAACCTTAGAATAGAGCAATGTTTAATTATGAAAAAGTGACACTAAAAATTGTATTCGGGGTTTCCTAACTCCTAAGGAATGGGAAGAATTTACCTCTGAAGGCTTTCTCCAACTTCTACTCTCAGAAAGTTCAATATCTTTACAGGCGACCCCACTGTCTTGGCTAGATTACTGAACAATGTCTGCAAAATTTTGTTAGGAAGTTAGCAAGTAGTTGGCTGCTGGAGTAAAACATGACATGAAGAAACAGAATCTAGATATGATACTATCATGTCATCGTGATGAAACTATCTAAATAATCACAACTTCCAATAAATATTTACATTGCATATACGGTAATTAAGGTAATAAAATGCTAGAAATGCATGGGAATGAATATAAATGACCAAAGTAGGATCGGAATAGCAGAATAGACGCAATTATCCAAAAAGTAAACTAACGCAAACAATAAAAAGACTTTACCTTAATATCGAGTTTGTCATTTATAACAAATTTCTGCTCCATCAACACTACATCTTCATAGTATTTCTGTAAGCGACCTTCAACCATTTTTTCAATTGCCATTGCAGGTTTGCTTGTACTTTCTGCCTGATAAAAGGATCCAATTTCATTTCATTTTACTTTATTTAACTTCAGAGGATGAAAACATGCTTCTACAACACACATTATGCACAAGTGAACTGCAGTTTTTTAGATAATAACCTGTCAAGATAATGTAATTCTTTGTGGTTTTTGTTGGGGGTGGGGTGGAGAGAGTGAGAGAGCAACCACTTCACACAGTTGAAAACATAAACTAATAATACTAACCTACATATCCCGAGCCTGCACCGGTTGATAAGTCATTCTTTTTTGCTCTTCCAGTACTGTTTGCTCTTCCAGCACTTACTAAACAGCATACAGCTAGCTTAGCTGGTGATACAGAAAAGATACAGTCTACTATGCAATCATATTCAAAGCACTTACAGACTGTTTTTCGCATATAGTGCTATAGAATTTGTTCCATATCACTGCCAGGAGCCAACATTTCAACATGCAATTAAGTAACCCTTAAAAACAAAAATAAAATCCCAAGACATCATCTTACTTACTTTAAAATCCTAGCATGAAGCTGTATCTGTAACACTCCGGACAACAACTGCTTGAATCAAATACGGGTTTTTAAATACTAATCCAGTTTTTTTTGGTTTTTTAATCAAATCATTTTGGCCCAATCATGGGAATATGGGATTAGATATTTAGAGATAACCAAGTTTGGGATTAGATATCTACAGAGAAAACAGTCCAAACATAGTAACTTGTGCAAAAAGAACACCGCATGTACAGAGAACCAAGTTTGGGGAGGGGCCGTGGACACTAATAATTGAGCAGCGAGTAAGCCAATTGTACAGACCAATTCGCCACCAATTATAGACCACGAATGTTTCAGCAAAACAAGCCTTCAAGGCGACAAAAATATATACAAGCAGGACAACCAAAGAACAAAGAGCAGACGCAGCTGGGAATCCCCACGACCGGGCAAATGGGCAGCATAATTTATGAGCCGGACAATTTGCGCTTCCTGGCACGCTGGTTTGTGAGTGGCTCATCAGTAGAAGTAGCTCCATGCACAGGCAGATCTTTGACGGTCTCAAAGTTCAGGCTTTTTTTCGCTTCGGGGAGCAAAATGGGTCCTGGTGGGGGAATTTTGTCCTTGCCAACAGCATCTGTGAAAGGTTTTGGTTCAGCGACACACACTACGGTGTACAGGTTCCCTTGGGCTCGCTCTTCATTAAATTTAGTGCGTTTCACGCCAGCGATAATGTCAATTTTTTGCAGTTTTGCGTCAAATGCCTCGAGATCAACAGTGTCTTCTACGTCCATGTGCACGAATTCAAACAAGGATAGAATGTCCGCTGTGAAGAGAGTCACGGGAACGCTAGAGGTTCCATCACTCAGTGAAGCATCAAGACGGAACCTTTAAAAAACATTAAAACATAATAACATAAAGGGGATGCTGGCAGTAGCAAATGGACAAGAGAGCAAAAGAATGATTGCAAACTGTTTAATTACACTTCCTGCACACACCTCTTAACTGATTTCCCTTTTTTCTGACCACAGAACATGCATTCAAAAGTCACCCCTTCCATGGCATAAACCCTTCTGTTACAATAGTCACAACCCACGTAGAAACCATCATCTGAAGTGTCCATTAGAACGAACTTTCCCAACACCCACGCAACAGGAATCTGTTTCAAATGTTAAACAATTTAGAGCGAGAATAGTTAAATCATAAGTAGCAGCAAAGCACAAATATGACAAACCTCATTTAATTTTGCTTCCAGGCCAGCAACAGGCGTGTGAGGCTGGGACAAAGGTTTGGCTAGAGCACTAAGAGCATCCTCATACACCTTTTCTAACATCATTTGATCAACTTTGTGGACATTTTCAGCAAGCCTTTCATTAAAGCATGTTAGTGCGCAACGGGGAAACAAAAACAACAAATGAAGAAAATATCATATACTCACCACTTCTTTAACAACAGCGCACGTTCACCGGTTGGATTGAGTTCCAAACGGGTATCAAATCTGGTTGCCAGAGTGAGGCCTAGCAAAAAATGGGAGCATGTTACATCAAGATATGCCAACAGGTGGATCAAAGGGAAAACCAAAAGGCATACTACCTTGAAAAAGGTTGACAACAACCCTTTCAATGAGAACCAGTGGGTAATTCCCCTCCTCGAGAAGTCGTTCAATTTCAGTTCCATGACTGGTGACAAAATCTTCCCAGAGAGTGAGAGGGACGGGGATACACCTTGATAATAAAGATGGGAAAAAGGATGAAATGCATGCACAATTATAAGAGTATTCACTATAGCACAATAAAGGGTCAAGTGGTACGGGCATACTCCTCATTAATGAGAACGATGTCCCAAGCAGGTTTCTGATGTCCATCCGTCACAATGAATGCACGAGGCAATTTTTGAACAACTGCAGCCAGAGCACCTGCAAATGTATGAAATCAACATTATGTGGCTGAGCAATTGTAAGGCAGTCAAAACTGTAGAGCGGAGACATACTTATTTTTTCATTACGCAAGTGGCAGTCATAGAAATCATGAAAAGGCTTAGTCCCTGCCTCAAGGAGAAGGGCGCAATCAATGGCATCTTCAGGAGTAACATCCTGAATGAGGGTTCTTCGCGTGAATGTCCAAACAAACTGGTAATTAAGATCAACACAGTATCGCAAATCAGTGGCTGGCTTTACAAAAGCATTTGAGATAAGGTAGGTTGAGTGCAAAGCAAGACGTTGATCAATCACAGCAATGTCCCCTTGGAATGCAGCTGCCTGCACCTTGTTTCCCTGCAAAAAAAAAACAATATAACAAGTCAGAACAACAGGTTTGGAGCGCACGCCATTAAGAAGTCAGTTCAGATTCCATAATTGCCATTTTCGCATGAGCACAAACCAGCAAAAGGTTGGGAGATGATGAACCTACCGCAACATCCATCAATATGAAGTGCATGAATTTCATAGGGGAATTTTTCGCTGAGCGTACGTTGTGCTTTTCAACAACCGTAAGGCGGCATGACCGCATTCCTATTCCTGGCTTGACTTCTGGGAGTAACATTTCAACTGACATAGTTGCTGAGAACCTGCACTAAGAGAAAAACATTTCAGAGCTGGAACATAACCAGTGCAATAGTGAGAAGTAGTGTTATAAGTTAAACATAATACAAAGGGAAGCATGCACACCAGTACATAAGCAGTTGCTAAGAAATGAAAGGTAATATCTCCTCATACACCACGTTGCATGTAGTATTTGAGAAAGCAGGTCTGACAACAAATGACCATTTTAACAGACGATGCGTTTTTTGCCCTGGACATCGCGACATATAGCTGTCCGTGAGAAAAGACTGGTTCTTTCAAATATATTCCAACAAAGTCCAGGGTTTGCCCTTGTGATTTGTTTATTGTCATTGCAAAACAAACCTTTATTGGAAATTGTGTGCGCTTAAACGGCATTGCACAGTATTCATCCTTTGACATTTCAAGGGGGATCTTAGGGATAAAAACGTGTTTGCCTTTGTGATCGCCCGAGGCAATGAAACAACTCAGGACATGGTCTCCAAACGAATCGCAGATTAACCGAGTCCCATTGCAAAGGCCTTCACATGGGTTTAAATTACGGAGAAGCATCACCGGACAGTTATGTTTCAAACTCAATTTATGAGGGGGCAGCCCAGTCGGGGAGAGCGTATGAAGGTAGTCTTCACAATGGACATGTTTGGAATCATTAGGGACATCATGGCTAAGATATGTGTGAGCTTCACCAGGGAATTTTTCCATGAGGTATGAGTTAATGAAATCAACGAAATCGTTTTTTGTTGTGAGAATTGCACGTGACATTAATGCATACGGATCGCTTAGAAACAGACACAAATCTGGATAAACGGATGCAAATAGCAGATCAAGTGAGGCAGCCTCATTGATCCAAGGAATAATAAATTTTGATGGGATTTTAATTCTACCTTGCGAAACAGTAGGTTCACTTGCATTGCCGATACGAAGCAGATACTCACAAAATGCTGGATCCTCATGCGCACGCATATTTGAAACAAGGTGAAACCGCTGCACATGAGGCCATATGCTGACTGAGCTTAAAATGCACGCGGCAATGAAATCAGACCTTGTCCCAGAATGGACAACAGGTAATGTCTGCCTGAAATCACCTCCAAAAACCATAACTTTCCCCCCAAAAAGCGCATTCACATCCAGTATGTCTCTCAACGTGGCATCCAAACTCTCAACCGCCGTTCTGTGGGCCATTGATGCTTCATCCCATAAGATCAAACGCGCTTCTTTGAGCAGTTTGGCCTCTGCAGACTGTTTGCCTATGTTACACATATGTTTCGATTCACCATCAAGGGGAAGTTTGAAGCGCGAATGCGCAGTACGACCACCAGGGAGGATGGATGCTGCAATGCCAGAGCTGGCAGTGGCCAAAGCTATCCATTTGTTTGTCCTAGTTGCAGCAAGCAAACATTTGTATAAATAGCTTTTGCCGGTTCCACCAGGGCCATCAACGAAGTACACACCACCCTTGCACGTATGAACAGCCCCCATGATTGCATCAAATGCAGATCGCTGATGAGCATTCAATGACGAAATGTCGGCCAGATCTAAATCGCTGACACATAAATTGTATTCCGCAGCAACTTCCCTGTTGATGTTGCTCCCAACATTTGTATTCAATTGTGCGTCGATTATACCAAATGAATTTATGTCTTTCCCCATTGAACTGAGCAAGTCACGCAGGATGTGTAGGGCAGCCTGCTCTGCCGCCCCTTGGGACTGAAATCTAGCGAGATCTTCACATAACTGAGGTTTAAATTCATCCCACAATGCTCGGGGGTCAGGCACAAATGAGAAACAAAGGTGTACAGCAAATAGTTTACGCATGCTTGCGGGTAACTGGTATACAACAGCATCAACAAGCGATTCCCGAACAACAAAATCACCCGAAAGCAGTCCGAGCGATTCAGCGGCAGCTCTAAACGTTGGAGAATCATCCCCACCAACGCATTTGAGATTTGCAAAAGATGTTGGTGCCCGAACATTTGCAAGCAAGAGACGGAGGTAATACCGCTCCCCCTCAACCGGGTTAACAGACACCAACCTGCCAAGTACTTCTCTCCTTTTACGTTGAGTCCACTCTTTCTTTTGACCAGTCCACACGAAATAGTAAGGAAATTCAACATATAGAAGCTTTAGTCTCTTTGCAACTTCATTAGTTGAATTCATCCAGAAGAATTGGGTCAGCATAGTTTTTGCGGAATCGACTGCCTGTGTGATGTAAGTAATGCGTTGGTCCCCGTAGAACGTAAGATATTGAGAGTTTTCCAAATGAACCTGCAGCTGAATAACAGATGGACGCATTTCACTGATGGGGAAGCTGAAAATCCGCCACGCTGCTTCAGGAGGCGACACCCAACGGGCTTTTTGAAAGTCGGATATCTCATCAACAACTTCATCTTCCCGCGAAGCAGTCAGCGAAAGGCTGACCCTGTCGTGTCCTTTGTACACATATTTATATATGTACTTCACTGACCTGACGCTTGCACAAGCTTCCACATTGATGTGGCAGTCATACTTGCTTAACAAGTATGCGTTATAAGGAACAACCCATCTGTTATCCAGTGCATGTTTACGGATTTCTACTGTGATGCCAGATTCACGCCTTCTGTAAGAAGGGAAGCAGTTGTCATCAAAGGTAGTTTCGGTGGAAAAAACATGTGGGAACTTGCTTCTGCATGCGGGAGGGTCCGAGGGATTTTGTGACACCATGCAAGGGCATTTGACGTTCATATAACCACAAGGGCCATGTATCATGTGTTTTTTCACAAGCTTATACAATATTGGCTCTTTAGTATGGCAAGGGAGCTCAGCAGAAATTAGGCGATCACAATGGGCAGCAGTGCCGATTTTACTTTCCCGCGACAAAATTAATAGGAAATGGGCATGTGGAAGGCCTCTTTTTTGAAATTCTATCACATATGTGTGGGCAACAACTTTCCCAAACAAAGCTTTTGTTATGATATCTTTTTTAAAATCTTCTAGGCGAGCGTGAAAGACGCGTGCAACAAGTTCCGGTCGATTCTGTACTTCATCGGCAAACCTCAAGTGTTCTTTAATCTCCGGCCAATTTGGGTTACACGTGACGGTGATAAACAAATCCGGTTTCCCATAGTTTTGGACAAGCGCCATGGCGTCCATGTAACGGCTGCGCATGTCACGTGGGCCACCAATGAAGGAGCCTGGCAAAACAACATGTCGACCGACCTCATTTGTGTTATGTGCGCCTGATCCAAGGCTGTCCACTAAACCCTGATAAGTTTCAGAACGAAACTCGCGCTGTTTGCTACGGTAATAATCAAGCCGCTGTGTTTCAATTTTAATATACACATCAACTATGTATTGTTGGAACAACCGACCAGTGTGAAGTATGAATGAGGTGTGCTGTTCCCGAATTTGCAATTTATATGCGTAGTATTGCCTGCATGAGACTGAATGCCTTTTCCTGCCCTCGTTGTGCTGTCTCTCCTAATCTGCTATGAGTGCATCATCTGTTTCAAATCGGGGGCAGTTAATCAAGAGTGAAGGCATGGGCTGCGGGACAGGAGCGACTTGCGAGGAACGAGGGGGCTGTGGCCGCACATTTTTTGGAATCCCATCATGCCACCCCATCTCACCGTGTGGGAAAAGGAGAGGATATTGCAAAGGATCATAACATCCAAAATAATATTGAATGCTTTGAGACCTTCCGCTGTGTGCGTACACTTTAATGTTTCTAGTAGAGCCCAAACCCTCTTCTCCATCCTCAACCCAAATAGCAGCAACCTGGGTAGACGTTGGGCGGTTGTAAACACGCTGATCCAGAGAAGGATTGCCGTTGAGAACAATGGAAAATTCATCATCCTGCCCAACCTCCTCCAAAGACTTGAAAAACTGTGTGTATGGGTTCGTTGCCATCACGTCCATCAGAACGGACACCACTTCCCTGTCCAGCCGTTCTGTCGATTCCAACCTATTTTCCACAGCGTGATCGGTATCATAGAAGTACAGTTGCAAATTACGAGGAGGGCACCCATCAGGAAGGAGGTCATTAATGAAGTGATATATCTGGCCCTGCACCCTGAAGGTATATATCCCTTGATTGCGACGACACAAATTCCTATCATAATTATAGATTCCAATGGATGTAAAGACGAAGGTATTGTTATACGTTCTAACAGATGCTTGGAATTGCCTCGCTATATGATCACGAGATGTAAATAAATGTTGCAGCTGGGGTGGCATTTCAGTTGAAACAAGGACCACCTCACCTCGACTACAACACATGGTGGGTGGTTCATACTGAAAGCGATGAGCACCGCAAAACATACACATTGGGACTGACTGAAGTGTGTAACACACATTGCGACGTGAAGAAGTAGAAGTTCCCTCATCTAAACAATGAGTCACAATATATGACAGCGCACAGACGTCGCAAGCAGGGTGAAAAAAAATGCAGCAATCAACCCCACCATTATGAATATTACAGAGTGAGGAATGTTACATTGGATGCATATTGAATATTACATTGAATATTCCAGTGAAACGTTACGTTAAAGGAAGTCAATATGGATTGGTAAGTTAGGTGGTGTTTTTTTTGTAAATATCAACGGATCAAATAATAAATGATTCGACATACATGTGACGTTTAATGGGTTTTGGATAAGGAGATTAAGGACAGCACACAAAACAAAAAATAGTTAGTCCTTTTGCGTGGAAGCAACTGCACTGTGGCACATAAAACATGACAAAATCAGTCAGCACAAACCTGTGGCTTTACCAGCGCCAAACGATTGCGCAGGTGAGTCTGTGGGATGATCACCGCCCGTTAGACGCCCTGCCTTTTTGTCTGCACGCGCAAGTCGCTGGCGTTTGTTCACGCGAGCTCGTTGCTCTTCCGGAGTCACAACAGACCCATAACCACGCCATGATGCCATTGGGCAGATGGGACAAAGACACAGGCCGAGTCTGTGCAATCTACACCCCTGCCCCCCTCCAGCAAACAACACGAATAACAACACCACGGTTTCGTGCAGATGAGGCGAAGAGATTTGTCAAATGAAGTTTTTTTTACTCCTAATTCTAAGACCTTCCCTTAGTTTTACTTAAGGGTCAAAACATCGCTGTAAACCGTCTAAAACAACATAGGATACAACAAGCAGTTATAAATGGGTTGACCAAGCCAAATCCAAAAAGGTACAAGCACAATTTTAAAACAAATGTAAACTACTAAGGGAAACATTAACCACGCCAAAACACAGTTCAATAAACAACAGTGGGAGTCGAGTACTCACAGAGAACACAAGAGGACAACTCGAAGCTGCAAAATAAACCTTGAACCCTGCAAAGAAACAAAAAAGGTTTTACACTTTTGAAGGGGCTTTCTTTTCTCAGCTGACACATCAACAAAAGGAAATAAGTGGAAAGAAGTAGGAAATTATCTTCATGGGTCTGCCTTCTCACTCATCAGCACCCACTTAAAACACACCACCATAGCACGAAGCCAAATACATTTAATTTTGTTCATGTCAAATCTGGGGTTGTTCTCCTTTCTTCCATATTTTCAAGACCCACACCCAACAAAGAAAGAATGAAAAAAAAGCACCAGAAACCATTTTAAAACCCCCCCCCCCCCCCCCCCCAGCACTTCAGCACCCACTTATAACAAACCACCATAGCAAGAATCCTAACAATTTTTTTTTGTTCATATCAAAGTGGGGGCTGTTCCAAACCTTTTTAAAGTGAAAAGTGTCCAAAAGCGTCGACTTCGGGTTTTGCTTTAAAGCGAAAGCGCCAAGCGGAACGTAGCTTTCTCACAAATAGCGTTGTTTATAAAAAAAAAAAAAAATTAAATATATAATGTATAACTAATCTAAAAATGCATAAGTCATCATAAGAGTGCATAAACAAGTGTATATATTTATATGTTATTAATTTTCAACATATTCTCCACCTTCTTTTAGCAAGTATTAGCAATTTCCTATCTTAAGCTCATCAAAACACACCATAAATCCCAATTTTGATTCGATTAGGAACGATGGTTATAGATTAATAACAGCAGGAACACTGAGTTAAGCAAAATTAAATAATAGTACTTTTACCTGTGAATAATCTGAAAAGACAGCGCAGAAAAATGAAAAACACAAAATATACACCACAAACACTCGAAATAAAACAAAAAGGATAGAAACATTGAATAAAAATTTGTAGAATGCGTTTATAGCATCAACCTTGTTGGAGATATAGCTATTTCGATTACCACCTAAGCAGTTGGACTTCGCAGATTAAGACTACCGCAGTAGTATTTGATCAGTAGTAAACAACCAGCTACTTGTTCTATTGATTGACTTTTTTTTCAAAGACATTTAAATTGGATAATACTTATAAGCGTAATTCAAAACTGATGATTTCAGATGGCTGCATAAATAAAAAAATACTTAAAAAAGTTGGCAAACTCAGTAATGATGTATTTTAAATGTCTATAAAGTTGACCAAATTTTAATCCTAAAAGCACTGCATCAAGGAAACTTGCCAACTCCAAGACAACTTCATAAGTGGTTCAAGTAATTTCTGGGAAAACTGATGTTTTTCATTTGTATCAAGAATTTGCAAAACTTGCTCTTAGTCATTTTAATTAAATCTGAAACAACATAAAATTGCAGAGAACTTTATCATTTCAGACAAATGCTCTAATAAAAAATGGTTCTTGCAATTGTATTTCAAAATTCAATTCTATATGAAACAGTTTCCAACTAAAAGAACAGGAAAAAGATTGACCTGAAAATTATATGCTGCAATAATAACTTAAAATTAAGAAACCAAATAAACCAGACCATATAGGAAAACTATACGACAATTTTTTTAGAAGACCATATAAAATTTTAGTGAAGCTTGTTGACCGGTCAATCGATGAAGTTTTCTGGTTGTCGCAGCTCTGGAAAAGAACCGGACTCAAGCCTAAATGATCGCAGACTAAAAAAAATCTTACTACTTGTTGACCGGTCAATCGTTTTTTTGTGAGAAGCGGAGAAGCAGAAGAAAGCGAACAATTGACCGACCGGCAACGGAAAAACAAGCCAAAACCACATAAATTTCAAAGCCATCACAGAAGGCTCGACCCAAGCCCAAAAACGATAACCGACACAAAACGGCGACACTATCTCCACAAAGGGTGATAGAGCCTTAGTTGAAAGGTGCTTTCGCACAAAGGCAAAAACAGTGCCTCAGTTGAAATGAAATTCAAAGCAAACAGAGGTATACATACCGTTGAAGAACAAAAGAACAATTGCAGGTAAACCAAGAAACGAAAAAAACACAACAAAGACAAGAGAACATACCGTTGAAGAAGCACCTCAACCCCAAGAAGGCCACAGCGAAAGAACAATGAAATGGTCCAAAGAAATAGGTAAACTTGTAGGAGTTGAAGGCTCCGCCGACTTCATCATGACTAACAGTGTATGGAAGGGACGCCGGTTCCATCGAGTAAGAAAAGCAGAAAGATGCTCTCGAAAACGTCGAAAAGATAATAGCAAAAAAAATAGAAACCCACGTGGAATAGACGGCCGTTGCCTTCCGAAGCCCTAACACCCTTTGCGCCCGTTTAGTTGGGGGAGCACGTAGTAACGGGCGTTGACTCATTTAACACCCTTCCACATATTATATATATAGTAGATATCACGAACACTTATACTTTAAGTGACATCAGAATCATAAACATCTATTTAATTCAAAATATAATTAATTCAAAATATAATTCACTAGTGAGAGTACAGAGTTTGAAATTTTTAGTGACCTATTGGTAATCGATCTCTTTTTTCTTATGAAATTATCTTTTGGATTTATGAAATTGAAATAATATGAGTATATTTTTTAAATCTATTTTCTATGAAAATTCTTCATCAATGTCTAGTTTTGTACCCGGGCGTTGCCCCGGGCAAAACTTCTGTATGAAATTTTGATTTACAAACGAATGATGTTTTCCTGTATGACTTTTCTAATTTCCTTGGCAATTGAAATGTTTAGCAATAATATAATAGCAAAAAGCATAGAATATATAACACGTCAAAACGGCTTATAGATACAAAATATTTGAAAGATTGTATCTCTAAATTTTGGAAAACGTCTCTATAGATAACATTATGGTCTTGATGGAAAATCCTTGATCTTTTGAATGAATTAAAATCCTTAATCAAGTTTTACTCTTGATCTTTTATAAGATAATACAAAATTTGGAGATTGTGAAGACATTTTTTCTAGATAGGTTTTTAGAAAATTCTTTATCTATGGCCAGAGTACATACACATTCACTTATGACTGGAAATTGCCTATTTAAACCCTACTTTATTTGATTTTTTATATAAATACATACCCGAGTCGCTATTGATAAAGACCTCGTGTATACATTACTATGTCATTTTAACACCCAATGCTTTCTCTCTCTAGCTTCACTCTAGAACTTTCATACTCACGTTCTTACAGACTACCAACTCCCCCCTCTCACCTTAGCTTCTCATTTTTCTCTTTTAGACATTCTAGAATCTAGGTATAGCTCCTCATTTCTACTTGAGAAAATAATTAACACTCTTAAATAGACCTGCACAAAACCGGGCCGGCCCGCCCAGCCCGCCCAACCGGCCCGCACAAATGGGCGGGCTTGGGCATATATATTTACCCACCGGGCCGGGCCGGGCCCGGCCCGCAATAACTTATGGGCGGGCTTGGGTTAGGGTGTAGGCCCGTTCGGGCCGATAAGCCCGGCCCGCTACATTTAATATATATATATATAATTTATTTATTTACATGTACATTTATATTTTCTAATATAATTTATCTTTATACATATTTATAGTTTATTATGTTTAAATTTAGGTTTTTAGATCTGAACTACTAGCCCAACTTATATAGTATCTATTTTTGTACTTAATGATAATACTTTGTGCTTGAATTTTAAATTTTAGATATAGTTTCTCATTATTATTTTTGTGTAAGTATTATTTTTGTATGTGGTGAAAGACCTATAAACATTACACGCATATTAACAATTTTTTAAATGTTGTAATATTAGTTTTAAATTATTAAAAAAATTCGAAAAATATAAAGGTTTTCCGGGCCCGGAGGCCCGGTGGACTACCCGGCCCGCTCTTATGGGCGGGTATGGACATGGGGTTAGGCCCGTTTTTGCGGGCCGGGCCGGGCCCGCCCACATATGATGGGCAAAAAAATTATAAAAAGCCCGGCCCGAGCCCGGCCCGAACCCGTTTTTGTGCAGGTCTACTCTTAAATGACAAATTAATCAAAAAATAATCAAAAAATTCATATTTTGATATTTTTAAATGAGAGGAATTTAACAATACTTTTCAAGAAAAATTTATAATACATTAATAAATTAAATGTAGTCAAAATAGTTTAAAACTAACCAATGTTACAATTAAAACGAAGGTAGCAAGGTATAGCCAATTCGAAATTCTATATTTTAAGTCCTAATGATCATTATGTCAAATAAAGAGAGCAAATAGCACTGTTTATGCTAATGAGTTGGACATTTCCTAAATATTGGAACTAAACGTAATTGAGCTATTGAAGTATACCTACTTCTCCTACATTTTAGCTACATTGTTCGCATTAATTAAAAGTTAGAGCATTCCAAAAATGACACATAATGTAAATTGAGGGCAAAATCTAAAAATTTTGAATTTTAATGATTAGCCTCAATTACAATTTAAATACAAATCAATTTCAATTGAGATAACTCTACTTTATTAGATATCCAATCAAAGGTTGAAATAAATCTAAGATGTTACCATTTTTCTCATGGTCTTTTTCTATGAATATTACTACATCCGTCTCGCAAACATTGTGACATGAGAATTTGACACGATTATTAAGAAATGTGAGATTATGTGGTTAATGTTGAATGGATAAAGTATGAATTAAATAAGAATGATTTAGAATCACATAAACTTTACCAAATTTAGTATGATACAATCTTAGTGGGACAAAACGAAAAGGAAAGACGGTGCAATCTTAGCGGGACGGAGAGAGTACTAAACTAAATTCAGAAGACAAAAATATGACTTATTTAAAATTTTCCAAAACGGTGACATATTCACTTGCTAGTTCTTATCGACTCATTATCTACAGGTGACTTATCAGTTTGAAAATACACTAGAATAACTCTTGGAGAATATTACCCGAACTAGAACTAAAAAGGTTAAATGAAATTTTCAAACTAGGTCTGTCATGTTTTTATTCCCAAAATAGGACTAATTACTGCCATGTTTTGGCAGTATCAGACTTCAAACTAGACCTGCACAAAACCGGGCCGGCCCGCCCAGCCCGCCCAACCGGCCCGCACAAATGGGCGGGCTTGGGCATATATATTTAGAGTGAATTCCCTAAATAGGACTAAAAAGTGGAAAAATTGCACAAATAGGACTACATTTTTTAAATTCCCTTAATAGGACTATTTATGTGTGTTTGGACAAATATACCCTTGTAACTTGTGAAATGTTTTAATTAATAATAAAATCATAAAAAAATTAATAAAAATCGAAAAAATTACTAAAAATCGTAAAAAAAATAATAGAAAATTAATAAAAATATTTTTTAAAAAAAAATAAAAAATATTTTTTTTAAAAAAAAATAAAAAATATTTTTTTTAAAAAAAAATAAAAAATAAATAAAAAAAATCATAAAATTAAAAAAAACACATTACCACCCCTGCCACCCCCAACACCACCATCTCCCATCACCGGACAAAAATATGCCAACATTTTAAATAATGCCATAATGATGGCATAATCAATGAAAATGTTGGCATATTGAAGAGTAATTATGCCATCTTTTTGGCATTTTCAGAAAAATATGGCATTTTTTTATCAAAAGTGGAAGAAATTTCACCAATCGGAGGTGGTGGTGATGGGAGGCGGCGGGAGGCGGTGAGAAAGGTATCCATAATTTTTTTCATTTTTTATGGGTTTTTACTATTTTTTATTATTTTTTTAAAAAAAATAAAAAAATAAAAAATTAAATTTTTTATTTTATAAATGTTTTATAAATTTTTTTTAATTTTTTTACGTTTTTTAAATATTTTTTTACGTTTTTTCTGATTTTATTATGAATTAAAGCATTTCATTATGAATTAATACTCTTAGGGGTATTTAGGGTAGAAAATCAATGTTTAGTCCTATTTAGGGAATTTTAAAAATAGTAGTCCTATTTGTGCTTTTTAGGAACTTTTTAGTCCTATTTAGGACAATTTCCGATATATTTACCCACCGGCCCGGGCCCGGCCCGGCCCGCAATAACATATGGGCGGGCTTGGGTTAGGGTGTAGGCCCGTTCGGGCCGATAAGCCCGGCCCGCTACATTATATATATATATATATATATATATATATATATATATATATAATTTATTTATTTACATGTACATTTATATTTTCTAATATAATTTATCTTTATACATATTTATAGTTTATTATGTTTAAATTTAGGTTTTTAGATCTGAACCACTAGCCCAACTAATATAGTATCTATTTTTGTACTTAAAGATAATATTTTGTGCTTGAATTTTAAATTTTAGATATAGTTTCTCATTATTGTTTTTGTGTAAGTATTATTTTTGTATGTGGTGAAAGACCTATAAACATTACACGCATATTAACAATTTTTTAAATGTTGTAATATTAGTTTTAAAGTATTAAAAAAAATTTGAAAAATATAAAGGTTTTCCGGGCCCAGAGGCCCGGTGGACTACCCGGCCCGCTCTTATGGGCGGGTATGGACATGGGGTTAGGCCCGTTTTGCAGGCCGGGCTGGGCCCGCCCACATATGATGGGCAAAAAAATTATAAAAAGCCCGGCCCGAGCTCGGCCCGAACCCGTTTTTGTGCAGGTCTACTTCAAACATGGCAATATTTTCCAAACTTGGCAGTAATTACTCCTATTTTGGGAATAAAAAACATGGCAGTCCTATTTTTGAATTTTCAAACTATTTTAGTTCTATTTCAGGAACTTTCCCTAACTCTTGTCCCGTTCAGATGTTTTCTTTGGGACTGAAATTGGTTGGTCATTTGGTCTGGTCTGGTCTGGTCTGGTAATGTCAATCAAGTCTATGTGTATCTTATGACTGTCCAGGACTCGTCTGTTTAAGTCTGATCTATTCTGTTCAAATCTGGTCAATTTTGATCTGGTCTGATCTTGAACTGAAAGCGGTAGCAAAGAAAGAATCCTTACTCGTACATATTGATTAGTCATAATTTTATCCAAAAACATAATTAGTCAGATATTTACTCGGGAAAACTCTATTAGTTATATACATGTCATTTTTTCATGAGGAGTAACTCGGGAAAATTCCTACATTATTTGTAATTTGTAACATCATGAGGAATAACAATATAACATGCAATTTGCACCGTAGAAACTCAAATGCTAGTAGGTCAAGTGGCATTAAATCCCATATCTGATTAGAGATGAAACATTTAATTCTTCAACTATGAGCCTATGATCTGTCTCGATTGAGTTCTTTTATCATCAAAGATGGCAACGATTCTTGAGATCGAGGGTCCGATTGAAAGAAAATATTTCAGGTTTCCTCGCAAAAAAAAAAAACAAAAAAAAAAATTCAGGTTCGAAAAAGAGAATGTGACCGAAGCAGCACCGCATATGTGATGGGGTCAGAACTCAATAATTACCGCCTGTATTTACCGGTCCAATAAATTAAAATCTTAGTTTTTTTGAAAACAAATAAAAATCTTAATTCTGATTTCTAAAATGCTTTTAGAGTTCCTTTAAAAAAAAAGCTTTCGAAGTAGGGGTGGGCTGGAGAAACCGAAAACCGAATCGAAAAACACGAACCGCAACCAAAACAACCGAACCATAAGAAAACCGAAACCGAACTCAAAAAACCGAACCGAACCGTAGTTGTTTGGTTTCGGTTTTGGTTTTCACTTATCAAAACCGAACCGAACCGAACCGAATAAACCAAACTTTTTAAAACTTGTTACTTTTAAAAATTTAGCGGTCTTCTTTTAATAGTCCGACCTTTTCGTTATTCATGAATAATCCAACCTTTGCACCTCATCTTCATTCATTGGTCCCCGACCGGTTGATGACCTGCTATTCCGAGTTATTTTCTTATCTCTGCAAACTATTATACCATAAATTCGACCTTTCACAAAGATAATATTTTGCAAATAGAGTTTTTTTTTCGAATTAATGTTAATTAATTAATTAATTACGAAAATAATGCTGGAAAAAAGTATTTACCAATATACTGCTGGGCCTTAACCACGGTCAGGGGTAAGTCGCTCATATTTTTCCTTCAGCATCTCAATGATAGTTTGCACTTTAAGAGAAGGATCAGTGCGAACAATGTCTATCACATCTTTAGAGATGAAATCTGAAGTCAAAGTCACGTGATTGGTAGTGTCGGTGTTGCCAACGCACGTAGCAGAATGAGGTCCAGGATAACGCACAATTGTGAAGGTCTCAAGGTTGCCTTTGTTCTTTGTGGCGCGTATTCTCCAGGGGCAATCACATTCTTTCTTCCTTTTGCATTGTGCCACCCACTTGTGTTTATCGGACTCTATCACCCGATAAAATTGGTTCCGTTTGATAGAATACAAGCTCACCATATTGATGACATGTTCTTTGTTGTCAAACTGTTGACCGACCTCAAACTCACCATCGGGGGTAAACCTTTTCTCACCTGATCCACTCATCCACGCATCAGTAAACCCTTCAGGGAGATCATAGATTCTAGTAAAATGGCTAGACGGGGCAGTTTTCGTGACAGTATCACCATCATCTTCATCAGATTCTGTCATGTCATCACCATTGATGTTCTCGTCAGCATCATCATCAGTTCCCTGCCCATCCACAAATGATGCACCGTTGTGCAAATACCTACCATCTTCCTGTATAACCATGTCCAGTACAGGAGCCTTTGAGGAGTTCACTGCATTCACCCCTACATTGACATCATGCGTAGATACGACAACATTTGATGTTGATTGAGTACCATAGGCGTCACAGGATTCCTCAATGTATATCTCAAGCGTCGACATATCCTCCATCTGAGTTATGCCCCACATATTTGTTATAGCTAGCTCATCAATGAGGGGCATAAGCATGTACTTTCCCCCGTTCATGGGAAATTTCATTTTCAACCGCAAAGAACGGCTAGGATGAATCATTGTGGCTGCATGTATTTTTTGAAGGATCTCCAGCATGCAAGCGCCATGAGAAACCATGACAAAGCTGGTTCTGCCACCTTCAAGGCATATTTGCCCAGCATCCTCATAATAGTTCCCTCCCCAATGACATATGATTGGGAAGCTTGAGAAATCCATATTCTAATAACAATTCATTGTCCAACATTCATGAGTAGGCATCAATATACACACTTTAAACACATTCAAATTTTCAATAGAAAAAACTACCAAAATTGTAATATATCCATAAGTTAAAATTCACAAACAATTCACATTTCAATATGAAACTACCAAAATTTTTACATCTACCTTTTAATACCCAAATTTAGCTACATTCAAGTCTACCCAAATGCCCAAATGTCAAAATACACATTTAAATTTACAATCAATTTAAAATCAAATTTCAACATTTCATACATATCCGCATTTCACAACAACTTAATTCACAATCAGTTCATAATCCAAAAATTCGAAATTTTTAACATTCAAAACCCGAATTTCAAAATGAGATGAAAGGGATTTTGATTTACCTAGAAGAAAGAAGAAAGAGAGATGAAGATGGAGATGGAGGTTCGCCAGAATGGGGTCGCCGGAGAAGGAGGTTCGCCGGAGTTGGAGATGGCTTGTCCTTCGTCGGTCGTTGCCCGTCCTTCGTCGCTGCAGAGAAGCTCTCGAATTGGGGGTTTAATGTTTAACGCGTTGTGTTTGTGGCTGTCTGCGATAACTTACTTAAGGGTAAGTCGCCCAACCGTTGGACGACTTACCCCGACCATGGTTAATCCAGCAGTATTTTGGTAATTACTTTTAACCCAACCCTATTTTCGTAATTAATTAATTAATTAACATTAATACGGGAAAAAACTCTTGCAAATATAAGAAAATAACTTGGAATAGCAGGTCATCAACCGGTCAGAGACCAGTGAATGAAGATGAGGTGCAAAGGTTGGATTATTCATGAATAACGAAAAGGCGGGACTATTAAAAGAAGACCGCTAAAAGGTTGGATTGTTAGTTTCCATTTTTCCTTAAAAAAAATAAAAACTGTATGATTGAGGTTTGTGCAGAGGAGAGAATAATTTTAGATCCACAAATTCTTTACTTAAAAGGGAAAATGACAAAATTAGTGAGGCATGTAAAAAGAAAAAATGATATAATTTTAAGGGAGGAAATAACATTTCATTTCATTCTTATTTTCATTGCTATCCAAATGGCAGCTCATGCGAGGTGAGCTGCTTAATTTATTGGAAAATGCTAAGTATACTCACCATGGAGTACTCTTCCGGTCTGGAATTCCTGACCGGAAACCGCCGTCCGGACGGTAGCGTTTGGCCGCCTTCTGGGTGGAATTTTTCGATGAAATTTTTATGACATGTTCTCCATCAAGTCTAGTTTATCCACAAAAACTTTCAGCCAAAAATTCATTCGGGAAGGTCGTCAAATGATTTTTCAAGTTTACTATTTAATACTTATACAATTATTATATCTACTTATATAATAATTATACTCATTCGGCCATATTTTTAGGGAAGGAAATGGGCCAGTCCATTGGCTTGCAAATTTGAGATTGGAGTCAGCCCAAGTTATGGTTTTTAATCGAATTGGTCAACTGCCCATTAAAGTTAAACAGAGTTATTATGCTGATCTGTTCGGATTTCCGGTTTTACGGTCTTAGCTCTTGTAATTCTTTTTGGGTCAGGCCTAGCCCCCCCCCCCCCAATTTTTTCTTTTTCCTTTTTCGTTGGCTTGCTATATTAGAGGTTTTGGTTTGGTCTCCCTCTTTTATTTTCCTTAATAATACTCTGGTAAGTGTACTCCGGCATTTACCTTCCGGAGGAAAAAAAAATATCTACTTATATATTAATTATCTACTTATAAATACAATACTATATTACTTATATTTCTTATCTACCTAATCTCTACTTATTATCTACTTATATCTACTTAATACATACATACTAAATCTACTTAATATATACTTTATATATTAAAATATTAAATATACTTTATCTACTACTCTGTATTAGTATATACTTAATACATACTATTATCTACTTCTCTACTTATATTTCTTATCTACTTATTCTCTTATTCTCCAATCTCCATTATATTTTACTATTTAATTCTTATACAATTATTATATCTACTTATAAATACAAATAATATATTACTTATATTTCTTATCTACTTATTCTCTACTTATTATCTACTTATATCTACTTAATACATACATTCTACATCTATTTAATATATACTTTATGTATTAAAGTATTAAATAGATGTGCATTACTAATCTTATAGTAGTATAAACATTATATTATATATTCGTTATACAATTCTTATATCTACTAATATTGTTGGAATTATATCAAATTAATTCGAACTATATTAATTAGTATATTAAGTATATATATATATATATATATATATATATATATATATATATATATATATATATATATATATATATATATATATATATATATATTCGATTTTTACTAATATATTACTTTTATTACATCTAATTAATATATTAAGTATATATATACTTACACAATATATATTATATATTAGTTATACTTTAATTAATATTAGTTAAAATCATTCTATTACTCATTTACTCCCATTAATTAGTATACACATTCATACATTTGTCTTCTTACTTACATTTTGTATTAACCTTACTTGATTAGTTAATTAGTATTCCCACTAATTGTTACATTTTTCATTAAAGTAATTAATTAGTATTCCCATTCAAGTTAACTGACAAATAATTGTTTGTGAAACATGATTTTCTGTGCACACATGCACTGCACATATATTGATTGATTTGTAAGCTGATGTCAGTGTCAGGCGGCTGTCAGCGTACTTTTTGCAAAAAAGTAAATGTATGTGGACACAGACAAAAGTTGTTTGTGTACACAGACAACTCTTGTCTGTGACCACAGACAATTCCGTACCAATTGTCTGTGACCGACATTTTGTGTACAACTTGTGTACCCCTAGCATGGTTGTAATTAATTGGAAAATGCTAGGGGTACACAAGTTGTACACAACTTGTACACACAATGTTGGTCATAGACAATTGGTACGGAGTTGCCTGTGACCACAGACAAGAGTTGTCTGTGTACACAGACAAATTTTGTCTGTTTCCACGGACATTTACTTTTTTTGTAAAAAGTACACTGAGAGCCGTCTGACACTGACAAGTACTTTTTACAAAAAAATAAATATATGTGGAAACAGACAAATTTTTTTTGTGTACACAGATAACTCTTGTCTGTGGTCCCAGACAACTCCGTACCAATTGTCTGTGACCAACATTGTGTGTACAAGTTAGCTTGTGTAGTCTTACCATTTTCCTAATTAATTAGACTAGTGGAATTTGACAGGTAGACTGCTACTAAATGAAACGTCAACTTGCCCCATCATCTATATCAGTCCCGCTCATCGTGTCATCCCCAGCATCTTCACAGCTTACTAGTGAACCCCGCTTTGTCTCTATCCGTAGTACGCGACATTCCTTTTTAATTAATGGCGGCGGTACAGCCCAAGATCCGGCCGCTTGGCTGCACCGAGCGCAACTGGTGCAGGGCGGTACCCGGCGGCACGGGCATTACCGTCGTGGCACTCCTCCTCTCCGAACTCGTAGACATTCCGCTTCTCCAAAGTGCCCTCCGCAAATTGCAAATTGACCACCCTATCCTCAACTCCAAGCTCATCCACAGAGCCGGCGCCAACTCCTACTCATTCCTCACCCCGCCGGCTCCGGCCACTCCTCACCTTGAAATCGAGCCGTTCGACCAAGCGTCGACGGCCGAGATTCTCCGAGGCCTTGACTCCTCCTCCGATTCGCACTTCCACCTCCTTCTCGAGCACGAATTGAACCGCAACTCGTGGCTGAATCCGAAAGCCGATGCGGACACCTTCTTCGCCAGCACATACGACTTGGACGACGGCCGCCGCGTTCTGGCGCTCCGATTCCACACGTCAGCGTGCGACCGTACCGCCGCCGCCGCATTGCTGAAGGAGTTGGTGCCTTTGCTCGGCGGGGAAGAGGATGGGGCAAAAGGGGAATTAGAAGGGGAAAGAGGGGTCGGTTTGGGAATAGAGGATTGTATTCCGAAGGGGAAGGCTAAGAAGCCACTTTGGGCCAGAGGATTGGATATGTTGGGCTACTCTTTGAATTCTTTCCGGATGTCCAATGTGGCCTTTCAGGATACCCATTCGCCCAGATGTTCCCGGGTCGTGAGGCTGAAGCTGGGGAAAGAGGAAACGGGTCGGATCCTCGATGGGTGCAAGACAAGAGGCATAAAGCTCTGTGGAGTTTTGTCTGCCGCGGGTTTGATTGCGGCCCGTTCTTCAAAAGGGCTTTCGGATTCTCAATCCGAAAAGTATGCAGTGGTGACAATCATGGACTGCCGCTCGATGCTTGATCCGGCTCTTAATGAGCACCACACTGGTTAGTTGATTACTTCTTTATTGGCTTGTTATTCGTTAAGGTCTGTGTCCAATTTATTTCTTTTAATCTTTGATTTCATATACAGTATAAATAAATATTTTTCATATTAAATTTTGTTTTTAAACTTTATTCCCGCGCAATGCATTTCCACTGGCACTGGAAATTCTTTAGCCATTAGTCCCATTCATTCTGGTTGGTTTGGCTTAGTTTGGCCTGATATCTTCTTTTGAAGTCTGATCTGATTAGAGCATCTTCGGGCACACGTGACACGATAAATAGCCACATAAATATTAGTAAATAAATTCTTTCTCTCCTTATTTGAATGGTTTTATACCGTTTTGGTAAGTTTTTCTCCACAATGTCAAGGAGATCGTCTAAATGTTGACATTGCAGTTGACATTGCAGGGAAAAACATACCAAAATTGAATAAAATCATTCAAATAAAGAGAGATATAATTTATTTTTTAATATTTATGTGACTGTCATTTATTCCACATGTGCACCGTGCACATTATAGCATTAGAGATCGCTCTTAGGGGTGGACAGCGCCGGGTCCGGGCCAGGACCGGATGAGATCTGGGTCCAAAAACATTACTAGCCCGAGTCGGGCCTTAAGGATGTTTTTACTTGGACTGTAATTTGCCCCACATCAGACCAGACCAGACCAGACCAGACCAGTTCAGACCAGACCAGACCAGACCATTCTTGGATAGTTATAAAAATACAAAGAAACCAGACCTTACCAGACCAGACCAGTTCAGACCAGACCAGACCAGATCAGACCAGAGCAGACCAGACCAGCAAATTACAGTCCAAGTAAAAACATCCTAAATACGGAGTATATTTTTTTGGATTTTGTCTTTTCGAATTAATTCCAATCACCCATCCCAAACTGCCTAGCCCCACCCACCTAGCAGCCAGCCCTATGAGACAAAGCCAAAAAAATTGGGCTCGGGCCAGGACCAGCTCAGCCGGACCAGCCCACCAAATGTTGATCCAGCAGCCCGCCTATTGAATCCCCTGGGTCGGGCCCCGGTCCCGATCTCAGTTTCGGCTCACCAGGCCAGGTCGGGCCTACACAGTTCTAGGACAGGCTGGGTCCCGGGTCGGGCCGAC